ACTTGTTTTTCTTGGAAAAACTAACTTTCAACAACAATAACAAAAAAAGAAATCCACAAAGCAAATATACCTAACAGACTTTTTTAGACTTAAAAATGCATGTGTGGGTAGATGGACATTTCCTTTATATGATTCCTTCTCTTTCTTCCCCTCCAAGTTCAAGCAACCCTGTAAGACCTAAAGTTTCTACAGCCAGGGGTTGGGGGAAGAACAGAGACAAGCAATAGCAATAAATAAGCAGAAGGCATCAGAGAACAAAATTACAGAAACTTATCACCAAAAGAGACCTTTGACAGCAGGTAATTCAAACTCGTTGTTCTCTAGTGGAAGACTTAAGACTCAGGAAAGTTAAGCAACATTCCAGACATAGCACACATAGTTAGAAAAAAAGTTGTCCTAGTTCCAAACATAACCAAATGGCTGGAAGGAGAAAAAGAATTCTGCACTGCCAGTTTCAACATCAGCATAATCCCAGTGTATATGCCTCATTCTCCCGTTCACAAAGAAGGCATCCAGGCTCTGAGATTCCACAGTAGGAAAGTTACAAGGCAGGACCCTCAAGACTAATGACCTAGATATCTTTCTGACCCCAAATGCAATCCCTAGCTGAGTAACCCAGGATAAATAATCTCTGCAAGGGTAATTTCCCTAACTGGAAAAATATTGGCAGGACCTACCCACCACAGAATTGAGAAGATTATATGAGATACTACCTAGGCTGTGTTTAGCCGTGTAGAATGATAATTGTTGCTTTTAATGTCCCTAGATAACAAAATGAAGTGAGAAAATGCATATAAAATGCATATGAACATCACAATGTCTGACATTATAATAAGTACTCAACAAATACTGGGAGTATTATTGCTTCAGACTCCTGTGTAAGCGTTGATGTAACAAGTATTTGTTGAGCTCTTTCTAGACAGAGGAACTGTGCTCTGTCCCGGGGATTCCACTCCCTGGTTTCTACTTGCTTCCATTCAAATGGAAGAGACAGACATGCAGTCAAGGGAGTGCTTTATGTCAAGGTTGGGCAAATGAAGCCCACAGGTCAGACCCATGTCTATCTTCATATTGCCTATAAGCTAAGAATGGTTTTTAGGTTTTCAAATTTTTGAGAAAAAATAAATAAAAAAGAATCTTTTGTGGCTCATGAAAAGTGTGTATGAAACCCAGATTCCAGCATCCATAATTAAACTTTATTGGCACATAGCCACACATAGTCATTTACATATTGTCTATGACTGCTTACGGCCCATAACAGCCAAGTTGAATAGTTGCAGCAGAGACCATATGGCCAGCAAAACCCAAAATGTTTACTATCTGGCCCTTTGCAGAATAATTTGCCAACGCATGTCTTACGTCTTGGTAGATATTACCATACAGATGCACACTGAGGGGTGCTAAAGAAGCATAGGGAGTGGGGGACACCTAACCCTGCCTGTCAACCTGGGGGGCATCACCTAGGAGCAAAGCCTAAGAGGATGAGTAGGAAACGGAAAAGGGGACGTGATGTGTGAAGACCCAGAACACGGCAGAGCAGGAGGGGATCTGGGAAAACAGCAAGACGCTGAGGGCTTGTTCGAAGCTAACCTTGACCTCATTGTCCTAGCAACATCCATGAGTGTTATCATGTGTACTTCTGGTTTTCAACTGTCTACCAAGCCCCAAGAGTTTGTCCTCAAATGCCAAATCAGTTATCTTCTCTCAGAAAAAAAACCATCACACAGAACTTTTGATCCCTCTGAGCTTTTCAAGTTTCTGATGAAAACGAGATGCAATGGCCTCATTATGAATATGCTCCTCCTTGTGTCCATGCCCAGTTTCATTATCCTGTGTCTTGGGATTAATCTGTAGCTGTGAATCATTCTCATTGCAAGTGTTAAAATCGTACTTGGCTGTGAAGTTTTAAGGAGCCCCAAGACATGTGTTATGGTTTGGATATGAGGTGCCCCCCAAAAGCTCATGTGTGAGAAAATGCAAGACCATTCAGAGGTGGAATGATTGATTTCGGAGAGCCTTAGCCCAATCAGTGAATTAATCCCCGACACCATTAATTGAGTGGCAACTGAAGGTGGGTAGGGGGTTGCTTGAGGAGTCGTGTCATTTGGGGCATGGCCTTTGGGGTATATATTTCATATCTGGTAAGTGGGGTCTCTCTCTGCTTTCTGATCATCATGTGAGCCACTTCCCTCCACCACATTCTTCTATCCTGATGTCACCTCAAACCCCAGGAAAGGAGCCAGCTGTCTATGAACTGAGACTTCTGAAACCTTGAGTCCCCAAATAAGCTTTTCCTCCTCTATAATTGTTCTGGTCAGGTCTTTTAGTCACAGCAGCAGAAAAGCTACCAAAACAACACCCAATCTGTGGATAAGAGAAACCAGAGGAAAAAGAAAACCAGCAAGACGAGGCAGGACTTAGCAGGCAGCATCCGAGCAACACCTGGAGACATAAGAACAGCTGGCCAAAGGACGGACGCTGTCTTCTGATCCCTAAGCTAGAAGATGAACTGACAATCGAAAGATCTACTTGAAATTTGGGACATGGAGGAGAAGCAAATGGCAAGTGCCTAGGTGACTTCAGTGGTGGGGACCTGTGACACAGCCCTGGTTTCAACATGTCCATGGGAAGCCCTCTTCTTTCAACTTCAGAGGCTACCACATACTTGAAGTCACATAACAGAAGCTAAAAAAGACCAAATACAAATGTGGAATACTTATATACTTATTATCCTCCTTGGAGAAAAGGAGGATAATACGTCCCTGAAATGCCTCCTCTAACCCCAAGTCAAGTCAAGGGGACAATGAGAGTGACTTTGGGCTGAAATGTCCAGGTAAATATCATCTCAAAGAACACTGGCTTTCTGTCACATCTGCTGGGGGTTTGGGCAAGTCAGGCTATCTGTTGAAAGCGGCTTTCTTGCATGTGTGCCAAGTTCCTTGAGAAGCTGGTCATACGGTGGGACACAGTGGGCTAAGGTAATGAGGTCACTGCTTCTGCAAACTAGTATCCTAACCTATAAAACCTCGCCATGGTAACTGGTGCAGAATTGAGGGCACTGTGGGGAGGGTGTGCCAGTCATCTAGCTGGTCACCACTGCACAAGGCATCACAAGGGCTGGAGATGCTTTTTTGTGAAATAACATCATGAAGGATAGGATGCTGCATTTCTTAGCAAAGCACTGTGAGGGACCAAACTGCTGTCTGTCCAGCCTGTCACCACGGGACCTTCCCTGGAAGCATTTTTCAGCAAACCTTAGGCCTTGCACACTGTCTTTGGGTACTTTCTTTGTCTCTCAGCAACCTATCCCATTGTCGTGGCACAACTGAGCTATGGACAGTTCCCACGTGCTCACACAAGTACCAGTTTACTTTCTCCTCTCTCATTTGGCAAGGCCAGTTAACCATCAGGCAACTGCCCCGGGCAGCTCAGTCCTTCAACTTGCATACATGCATCATCTCAATTCACCCCAGCTCTGCTAGGCACCCCCAGTGCAGCCTGGAGCATTATTTAATTCTTCCAGCCAATTATTTTTCCTCCAACAACATAGTGAGTGAGTTCCTCAGTGAGGTGTGCACATGCCAAGTCCTGGTGAGACTCTAAGGAACAAAACAGAAATGGCCCCTGCTCTCCTAAAGCTCTCTTTCTAAGAGTGAAAACAGATGTGAGAGTCAATGAACTGAATTCTCCAGGATGGTAGAGTCATGCCGCCTACCAGAGCCAGAGTGGTCAGTGGTCTACAGTGAGGAGGGAAGAGAAATGGACACTCCCCTCATGGACAGTTCCTTGGGGACCCCTATGCAGCATGATTTGTGTCCTCTCTTTGGTAGTATGGTTAAACAAATCTGCCTTTTTCTCACAGCTATGAGGGCAAAAATCTATGCCACGGAGACAATGCAAGCCCCAAACAGCATGCAGGGCTCAGATCATGAAGGATAGGATGCTGCATTTCTTAGCAAAGCGCTGTGAGGGACCAAGCTGCTGTCTGTCCAGCTTGTCACCACTGGACCTTCCTTGTAAGCACTTTTCAATAAATCTTAGGTCTTGCACACTGTCTTTGGGTATTTTCTTTGGTCTCTCAGCAACCTATCCCATTGTTATAGCACAACTGGGCTGTGGACAGTACCCACACGATCACACAAGTATCAGTTTACTGCTCCCAAGTCAATATCTTCCCCTGGCTCCCCATTACTTCAATGGCTGCCCTCCCAGAATCCTCCTCAGTGTGCTGATAGACTTCCTTGGGCATCTTCACCAGGGCAGCAGAGATGCCTAGACATGCCTGCACAACAGCAGGGGATGTCACAAGTGTTATATCCTGGGAGCTACACAGTCCCTGAGAAAATGTCCTTCGATTCATCCAGCTCCTGGTTCATTAGCTATGCTGGACATGCCTGAATGGCACTTAGAAGCAAACCAGTCTCCCAGCTACCGGCATATACAAATAATACTTACGGAGTGACCCTGGATGCAAAGAAATTGTGCAGTTTGGATTGCTGAGATCAAAATTGAATCTGCACCACATATTTATCATCCCCCAACCAATATTCTCACCATAAATCAAGCTCTAGCACTTTGTAGAAGTGCTTTCAGGTACAAAGTACCTCCTCGGTTATGTTCTTCACCCCAAAACAGTGCATTTTCTTAAATACAGAGCCAAAGGCAGCAGACCACTCAACTAAATAAGAAAATGCTCTTAATGCAACAAATATTCTCCATGCTACCTAGCTCCAATAAAAATCAGAGTGAAAATATATTTCCTCTGCCCTCAATAAAAAGAATGTGTGCAAGTCTAAAAGAAGCTGAGGGGCCCCACTTATAACATCTCTTACAAAGACAATCAAACAAACTACGTGCTCTTCATAAAGAATTTGCAGGGTGTAGAGTGCGTGACTAGCATGCATGAGGCTCTGGGTTCCATACCCAGTAAAGCATCCATGTGCGCACACAGACACAACACACACACACACACACACACACAAGACTACACGAGTCATATGGTTGGTTATTTTAGTATTTATGTGTACGTCAAAAGTATACATGACCTTATACGATAAATAAGATTGCACTAAACAAACAGTAAAAAGTCTGTGCCCTAAGGACCTTTACAATCAAAGGTAAAAATAAAACAAGAAGGATACATCCAGCTGAAGCCCTGGGTAAACACTTCACCCACATGTGGGCTGCCCCAGGTTGGAAAGGCCATCATGGCAGAAAAAGGAGTGTGGGAAAGAGAGAGGAAGACAGTGCTGGGCTGGACAGTGCCGAGTTTGTTGTCTCCCCCGGGCTCTATCAGCTGGACCAACCATGTTCAACAGGAACTTCCTACACAGAGACCACAGTGGAGGGCGCTGGTTTCCGGTGGTGGCTCAGGGTACCTCTCTGAGACGAGATCCTCCAGGTTCTGGCCCTGATGGGGTGTTTGGATCTCCTCTTAAGCCCTGGTTCCTCATCTGTAAGAGGTGGTAACAACAGTAATATAACTTGGGCCACAGGTTCTCAAGAAGATTAGATGAAACAATAAGAAATGATAGTGCTGATATCATTTTTAAAGTCATAAGTAAATTTAATCTACCATTTTCTTAAAGGAAAATGTTTGTCCCCATCTTGAAAAACAAAGGAAGTAGCAGAATGTGTGGTGAGTGAAGGACAAGATACCGCAAAAGTTCTAAGAATCAGCAGTAACACATTATAGGGACCCTGGGGCAATTTCTTCATTGAAAACAAAAATATTAGACTACACTGTGTTGGACTCACCTAAAGCTCCTTTATATCCTTAAAATCATTCCATGGTTGAATTTAAAACCCTAAGTTCCTACATAAATCACATTTCTTGCCAAAACACCAAGCACCATATGGGCTCTCTTGCTCTCTGTAAGCTAGGTTCAGTGTCACCATCAATCAAATTATGTCTCCCAAGACACGGCTGACAAATTTAGACTAGGTTGTGTGTGTTTGTCCTGATTCCTGACAAAGGATACGAGGAAGGATCGATTCCTTTCTTATAGCTCAACATCTGTCCCCACAGCCGCAGGGTCCTTTTGTTCTGAGGGTCCCATGACTTTGGCACTTTTCAGGGAAGAAACGGCTTCCAAGACTTTATACCTCTGGAAAAAAATCCTGAAGGCCTGTATTCCCTTTCCCCTGGCCACCTGAGTCCCTTTGAACATAGCTCCAGTTTACTTCATGAGGTTTCCCAAATCTGGTAGCCCTGGAAGAAAAAATGCAATGTTGACTCTGAACAATAAAAATGTTATTGGAACTACATTAATTACAGAAAAAGCAACCGAGGAACAGCATCTTCTCAAGGAACTGCTCAGAGGTTGGCGGGTGATTTCCAAAGCCCAGCGTTGTGGTTCCCAGTGGCATCACATAACATTTCAAAATCTGTCTCCCTTCATATTTCTCATAACCATCAATGCAGAACCCCTGCTTTTTAAATGAGAGTTAGATATCATTTCATTTCCTTAGTGTTCCACGAGCATTTTGAAATCCTGTAACAAAGGGTGATATGAAACAGATATGGGAGATTTATCTAAAATCCAATTGTGTTTAGCAATCGTGCTGCTTAGGGAAATCCCCCCTGTACTAGATGGGACATGATCTATTTATGTAACAATAGACAGCAGCCACAATAAACGATGGTGAGTGATTACCTAAGCTGCAGGTATTAATGCTGTCCTCATCTCCCTTTCGCCTGGCCACCTGAGTCCCTCTGAACATAGCTCATTTCTATGAAATCCACATCCCTTCCGTTGAATGAGCTATTTCTCTCACATATAAATTAAATTAAATTTTCTTACAGTGACAGTCAGTACACCAACACAGAGAAGACCAACTCTGCATGCCCCCGTTGTGTTTAGAAGGATACATGTTGATTTCTGTTTCCTTTCAGTTGCTGAAAAGCAGCTCCAATTTTGAAATACAATCCAGAAAATAAGAAAAGCAGTTCTCATACAGTATTTAATCACAGTGGTAGGCTGATTAGATGGCATCATCTTGGTAGAAGAACACAGATTTAAGTCAGAAAATCTGGGTTCCAATCCTAGCTCCACCATTTATGACTAAGTGTCTGAGACCCAGTCACTCATCTGTAAATGAGAGATGGGATAACCTTCTCTCAGGAACTTTATGAAGACTAAATAAAGTAATCTAGGCCAAAAGAAGAGAGTTGGGCAAACATTAGCTGTGATTTTGTAATCAAGGCCACCTCAAATCCTCCATGGAAAGAGAGAGAATGACTAAACACAGAGAGACAATAAATGACAGGTGATAGATAGAGATGATAGATATAGATAGATGATAGATCTTATAACTAGTAATAATAATTACTCATATGTATGCATATAATATTTTATCATTGCAAACTGAACTTCAGAAGTTATGGGGTATCCATACAGAAAATAGGACGATGGGTTGGTAGGATGGAGAAATGGGAGTTACTGTTTTGAGGTAGAATTTTAAGTTTTTTGTTTGTTTGTTTGTTTGGGGATTTTTAATTTTTTTTTAGTTGTTGATAGACCTTTATTTATTTATTTATTTTATGTATTCATATGTGGTGCTGAGAACCAAACCCAATGCCTCACACATGCCAGGCAAGTGTGCTACCACTGAGCCCTGGCCCTAGCCCAGAATTTCAGTTTTAAAAAAGATTAAAAGAGTTATGGAGATGGATGGTGGTGATGGTTGCATAATATTATGAACATAATTAAGACCAAAGAACTATACACTTAAAATGGTTAAGATAGTGATTTTATGTCATATGTCTTTTAACACAATTTTTTAAATGGGAAGGAAAATCTCAGGATCTCTGCATACATTTGCACTAAGTGTGGCCTGTGTCAGGTCATTCCTCCAGCCAAGAGGGGGGCGGGGAGATCAGCCTGCCCTTTGCTCACAGGCACATGCTGGCACAGGGCTGTGTATGCCTGGAAGCAGGAGCACCTGTTTCTAATTTATACAAAGTCCTATGGACCAGCTGTGTATATGATCAGAATTATTGCATTAAATCCTCAGAGAATTCTCAAAGGTATTATTGCCCTACTCTTACAAATCAGAAAACTGGACCCAAAGACCTAAAATAAATCATCCAAGGGATTGAAACCTGAATCAAAGTATTTCGTTACCTAGACCAATGCAGTGTCATTACGCAGCCAAAACCCAGGAGCAAAAGAGCTCTCAAGCAACTGTTGAGCGGACTGATACAGAGCCTGGCAAGACAAGACGGAGACAACCCCAGAGGTCACATGACCCGCTCCTGGCATTTCTAGCAACAGACCCTGAATCCTCAAAAGCAAGATATAGGTCAAGAACTTAGTCACAGACCGGGACAGACATGCCCAAACTCTGTCACATATATAGCACAAAACATCCAGTTCTTCCATAAAAATACTTTTAATATAAGAAGAAAAATAGATAAACACAATAAAATATTAAGAAGCTAAGACAGAAACACAAAACAGATGTGTCTTGCTAAATTGTGTCTCTAAGCTGATGGAGGCTCCAGATAAAGCTCGTCAAGATGGAGTGGGGGGGCGGGGGCGCGGGCCAGTCAGACTGGACAGGCCTTGGGAGTTGGGAGGGTGGCCCCCAGGTCTGCATCTAAGAGCTCTTGGCAGTGAATCTGTCTGGTACGGGTCACCAGGGAAGGGACGGGCAGATATAGCATCTACGTCTTGCAGGTGGAAATGAGCTGAAAAGACCCAAGTTGAAGTGTGAGCAGAGCAGATAAAATCCTGCAAACTGAAGAAATGCATATTAATGACCCACTGATGAAGGCAAATGATGAGAGATCCAGGCAGGGAGACAACCAGGAACAGCCTGCCAGCCAGAGGGGAGTCTGAACCAGGAGCAGGAAAAGGTGCACAGTGAGCTCTGACTCCTCTTGTGGATGGACTCGTTTTATTTAAAGAACCAAGGTCAAAAGGGACAGGAAGATCTAAACCCCAGGGCTCCGGAAGGCCAGCGGGTGAGCCATGGAAATATGCATATGGATAAAAATTCAGCTCAATGCTACAAGAGTCCGGTAGCTCTAAATGGGGTCCTCAAAAACCAAGATAAGTGGAGCCAAGAAGCTGAAAAATCATAGAAACTTATACAAAAGGGAAATCTAGGGCACAGCAGAGTGGCAACAGTCACTCATTTATTCGTTCAACAAACTTAACTGGGTGTCCATTAATAATACATATAGCAATAGTAGCAGCAGCTAAGGCTTATGTGGCTTCTATCTCATGCTCCATGTCCTAGGGACTTTAAAATCACTTAACCCTCACTTCCCTATGAAGTAGTAACTCCTCTTATCCCTATTTTGTGTAGGAGAAACTGAGGCACGGAGAGGGTGAACAGTTTGCCTGAGATCATTCAGCTAATGAGTGGCCTGAGCATGATTCAGGCCCCACTCTGCACACACTCCCTGAGCTAGGAGAATGACCTGCTGTGTTCTGCTCCTCTGCCAGCTCTTAAAAGGCCTGGCTTCCTTTTTCTGAACAGTTTTGCCATCCGCAGAAGTTCTGGCACGGCAATAAAGAGGAACACGGAGAAGTAGGTCCCAAGAAATCTTCCCATCAATCAGTCTCCTTACCCTCAGCTGAGTCCCATGTAAGAAAAGCTTACCAAGTTACAGGAACCTAACCATGGCACTAATTTACGGGAGAGGAAAGAATCAGTCCTCCCAAACATTCTTCCAGCTTCTGATGATAGAGTGGAATTATGCCTCTGTTACCTGAAATCCTTGATGAAAGAAAAAAAATAGTCTAGGGCATCCTATAGTTTGCCATTAGATAAATGTAAGCCTCTGCTAGGAAACTGTTCAAACTTTGTTTAGAATATTCTCTGGGAAAGCGAAATGACCTTCAAGAAGAAACTCTGAAAGTGTGTCTGCATTGAAGATAACTTATGAGCAGCGCACACGGTAAGAGGCGCCTAAGGGCAGCGTGATCGCAAAAACAAACGGGAAATTCAGCGATGTTCAAGGCACTGTACGAGCCCCGCCTGACCGTTAAGTGAGGGGGCTGCAGCTTCTGCCTCTGGCCTGGATTGAGAGCCCTTGAAGAAAGAGCCGTGGAGCCCCCCACGTGGTGGCATGAGGACGTGGTAAATGACAGTTTGCTGCAGGTTTTCTGGTTGTTTTGTTGCTGTTGTTGATTGCTTACTTGCTTTGTTGGTGGAGTTTGTATTGATATTTGCTGTACAGGGGATGGAGCCCAGGGCCGCCTGCATGCTGAGCAAGTACTCTCCACCACTAAGCTACACCCCAGCCTTTTTTTTTTTTTAAAGACAGGGTCTCGCTAAGCTGCTGAGACTAGCCTCAAACTTGCGATCCTCCTGCCTCAGCCTCCCAAGTCTCTGGGATTATAGGTATGCACCATTGTGCCCAGTGGCTTGCCACAGTTTTTCAGCTCCCTTTGAATCAACCATTGCACTTGTCTATGGTCACAAAACAAATCACCCTGCAACATGAGGGCTTAAAGCAACAAACCAAACTTGTTCCTGCTCATAGTTCTGCAATTAGGTCCCTTCTCTTCATCTTCACCACATTGTCTCCAGCGTAGCAGCTGCTGAGTGGACTCACAGTTTGCATGTCAGCTCAGGGCTATGTCTCAAGAAGAGAGCTGGAGGGTGCTGTATGGCCTCCTGTGATTTCACCTCCTGTGCTTTCACCTCTTGTGATTTCACCTCTTGTGATTTCATTGGTGCTTGGTGCTATGATTTATTAAAAGTATTCTTCTTTCTTTGTCAGTGATAGATTTTGGGGTATGGACAACAAAATCAGTACTTTCTATGTACCTGGGGGAACTATAAAAATCACATCATTGTTTTCACAAAATAATTAAAGGCTATAAAATACCATCAGCTGAGCCTGGTTCTAGGTTCTAGAATAATAATCCAAACTCCAGGAAATCTGAATTACACACCAGGACATCACCTATATGCATGAGGAAGTCATCTCAGCTTATCTTTTTTCAGTTGTGGTAAAGTGTACATGGCTAAAAATAGCATTTTAACTATTTTTAAGTGTACGGTTCAGTGGCATTAGGTATATTCACTTTGTTACACAGCTGTCACCACAGTTCATGTCCAGAACCTCTTCACCATGCCCGGTGTAAACTCTACACCTCTCCCCGCTCCAGCCCCTAGTAACCACTATTGCATATTCTGCTTCTAGAAATTTAACTATTCTAAGTAACTCAGATAAGTAGAATCATACAATGTTTGTCTTTTTGTGTCTGGGTGGTTTTACTGAGCAAAATATTCGCAAGCGTAGTATTAAATTTTCATTCCTTTTTAAGGTTGGATGACATCCATTGTACGTACAGAACAGTTCATGTACATGTACTTATAGAACAGTTCATGCTGGGTGTTTGAGTCGTCCTCACGTTTTGGCTATTGTGAACAATGCTCCTGAGAACACAGGGGTGCAAATATGTCTTCTGAGTCCCTGCTTTCAATTCTTTGGGCTATATAACCAGAAGTGAAATTGTTTTCATCAATACAAGAAGTCAGGGATTGCTCCTAAAACTGTGGTAAGCACCGCTGACAGGCTGACCCCCTTGACCGTGAGGACCCCCAGTGCTGCCTGCTGCCTGCCCTCCCTGCCGGCTCTCCACACCCAACCTTGCCTCAGTGCTGCACCCGTCCCCTCAGCTTCTCACTCCCCGTCTCTCCTTGCCGCAATCTGGCTGCAGCAAAATAACCGGGGAGTGACAAGCAACTTGTGTACATTGATACAGCAGGAGTGGGAGCCGTTTATTGTAGGACAGGAGGGGTATATATACATTCCGCACAGCTTATCTAATTAACATAAACTAGATACAGCAGTCAACCAATAAGGAATCTCCACACTTAATGGCTCACTGGCGTTACTTCACAAACCACTCCCTCTGGCAAAATGCCAGGCGCCATCCTGACTTGTTTACAGACTCTAGCATCTCCTCTGGAGCTCTGTCAGGAGACCTGTTTTGTCTTCCACCTCTGGCCTCAATTCCCCACCACCCACCGCCAAGCGGGAGCCTGGTAAGTGCTGAGTGGAAATTGGATTAACTGAACTGGGACAGTCATCAATCACCTTGTGGAAAAGGTGATCCAGATGGTTATCAGCTGGTTGTGAAAACCTTTTCTAAGACGTGAACCTGGACTATAATGCGGGGAGGTAGGAAAATCGTAGGATGAGTGTGAACTTTCCTAGCCTTGGAGGGCCCTGAAGAGGACTGTTTTGCTCGGATCTAATGCACAGGGAGACTGAGGTTCTTGAAAGGCCTACAGTCCAGGAACACATGCACATGCGCCCTTTCTGACCCAATGACTGTGCATCCAAATAGACACACCAGGGTATTTTAAGACAATAATGGTCTAAGTATCTAATAAATAGCTAATATTCTAAAATGCTGGATGTAGTGAAAAGTTAATAGCCATAATGTATCTGACCAACTTCTAAGTATGAACGTAAAATGATCTTTGTACATCAGTAAATCCCAAATCTTATTCCAACTAGTTCTCCCCCTTCTCATTGATCCCGCGTTCTCTTGGGTTGAGTCAGTCCTTTATTCAATATCCGCCTCCTCTGATCTCTAACCCTTCCTCTGCCTTATGTGCTCTTCCTGTCATTGACTGCCACCGGATGTGCCACGGATTTGGTCCTTCCTTTGTTTATTTTCTGTCCCTCTCTTTAGAAGGCACACTCTTTGACAGAGAAAGACTTTTTCCTCTGTCAAGAACAGCATCTAAAACAGCACTATTGAATAGCAACGCAATAAATAATCATTAAATGAGTCTACAGACGAAGTTAAATTTAAATATCAAAAACTAAATTGTACTCACACCACAAAGCAATATGTGTATGCAAATCTAACGTGTGTATACGTATACACACTCTTCACACTCACACATAGGGCTACGGTTTGAATGACTACTATGATTTCCAAAGTTCACATGTGCACACTTGATGACAATGCGATGGCATTGAGAAGTGGGTCCTTTAGTGACTGAGTCATGAGGGCAGGACCCTTACAGAAGGGCTGAGGGGGGAGTTGGCCCCACCCTGCCCTTCCACCACAGGAGGGCACAGAGCTCTCCCCTCTTCCACGCTCCACCACATGAGGACGGAGCAGACAGCAGCCCCCACTGGAGGTACCTTGATTTTGAACTTCTCAGTTCCCAGGACTCCGAGGAAATAAACTACCCAGCCTGTGGTTCTCTGTTTTGCAGCCTAAACGGACTGAACCACAGGTGCACACGTAGAAAATGGTCACACCAACCTTGGCAGCAGCACAGATACTATAACACGGGGATTATGGCTTTTTCCTGTGTTCTAAATGTTCTCCATCACTTCTGCGGGTGCTCTGTGTAGCCAGGCAGGGTGCTGTGTGGCTGCCAAGGACGCTCACTCTGGTCTAGAATCCTTTCCTCAATTTTACAAGCTCGAATACTTGATTTGCTTTACAACCCAAGAGTGACTCGTTCCTCTGAGGATAGAATCACAGTAACTCATCTTATTTATAAAAGAAAAATATACATCTTTAAAATAAAAAAATGTGATTCACAAGGGGATTGGATGTTTATGGGGAGCTCAGTTGTAACCCATTTATTTAGTGGTCATGGATCATATCAACAGCACTCAGCTTTGGGGCCTGGTGGTATGTAGCCACAAAAGACTCTTCCTGTCCCCAGACAAGGGACGTGTGCAGGCCAGGAGAACTTCCCCGGGTCAGAGTGCATTCATGATTTCAGAACTTTGTGACTTTGCTAACTGCCGTCACTGACTATCTACTTCCTCTTCTGATTGACAAGTTAGGTTCTTAGGACATGAATTCAAAGTAACTCATAATAGCTTTGGTCATGCTAATACAGCTAATTTGACATTTTGGCTTCCTGCTTCTGGACTTCTGCAACATTTGTATTTAAGAGATGATTTACATATATCTAAAGTCATCATTATGCTTTTATTTTCTAGATAATTCCCAGAGACTCAGGGTACCTTGTTTTCACAGTTGCCTACACTAAAATTACAAATAATAAGAAGAAGAATAACAAATTTCTAAAGTCAGGAATGTAAATGACCCATATTAGAAAAAGTATCCTTTTTTAATCATGTTTTAAAAAATGTAAATGCTTTACAACTTGTAACAGGGCCCCAGCTGGAATCTAAATTGTGCTCACCTCAAATTTAGTGTATCTGGACATTGAAAAGGACTGGTGGAACAGACTCACCTGGAACAAGTTACCACAATGATGAAGGCTCTTCCCAGGAAAGAAGTCATCCTAGAAAGCATCAATGGCCTCAGCCTGAAAGGAGAAGGCCATGAGAGGGTGGCGTGTAGCTGTCACTCAGACGCCCCTCCAGCCCACACCTACAGCAGGCTGCGCCAATAGGAGCCACAATGCTTCCTCTTCTGATCCTCCCTGGGACCTTTAGACTGTGAAGCATCAGCAACCTGGTGCCAGTAGTGGCCAGGTGGTGGTCTCCACTGCATTGAGCACCTCGTCACCACGCATGGCTTCAATGCCCTTAGCACCAAGCACACGGCAATCAGTGACTTGAACATGGACATTGGCAGCTGTGTGCCTCGGGTAGGTGCTAGTGATGTAGCAAAATTTGGCATCTGCAATAATCAAAGTCATTAATGTCACCACCGGGAGAGGAGATGTTGAAGTTCCTATGGCACAGACATTATCTTAAAGATCATCAGGCTAGTTTGCCAAACCTGAGAGGGCTGAACTTTGTTCAAGGAAATTGAAAGCAGATATTGTGGAATACTGCTCATACCATTGTTATTCTAACCCATACCAAGGTGGGCATGGCTCGGGAAGTGTGTGGTTTACACACCTGAAAGTTCGGTTAGAATTGCAGAGAATCATTTCATTATGGAAAATTATTCCTTCATAGGTGACAGAAGACCAAGTCATCAGCATTCTCTCTATTAAAATCACACAATGTCTACCATCTACATATACTTCTAAATTTGAAAAATTGTTTTTAAAATAAAGAGTACAGGGGGCTGAGGCTGTAGCTCAGTGGTAAAGTGTTTGCCTCCTACGTGTGAGGCACTGGGTTCAATCCTCAGCACCACATAAAAATAAATGAAGATACTGTGTGTTCATCTACAACTAAATAAACATTTTAAAGAATAAATAAATAAATTTGCCTTTAAAATAAATAAATAAATAAGGAGTACAAATGATATTATAAACACCCATTCCCATTCCCAAGATGAACCAATATTCATAATCTGTCACATGTGCTTCTGGTCTTTATTTTTAAGAAATGAAGCAGTGGTGTCCGTGATGTCCCAGAGACCTCTTCTCTACTTCCCACGCCCACTCCCAGTCCTCGCTCTCCCCCTTGGCCAGAGGAAGTCAGCAATGCAGCTTCTGGATCCCCAACCAACAACCCAACACATCTCCATGGACACATAACCAACCACTAGGTCAAGCTGAAGACAAGGAGGGGACATGTACCAAGGTAAAAGTTTTAAATAAGAGACGGGAAGAGAATGATATGCTCTTCTTCTATAAACAAGAACCATTTTAATTCCTTTTTAATTCAGGGGAAAGTAATCAAGGAAAAATCAAATACTTTCAGTGCAAAAAAGTATTATATAGCTGTAAATTCCCTCTTTCTTTTCAGTTGAATATGAGAAAATGATAGAAGAAAGTTGGGAGCTGGGAAACAGAGATAAGACAGTATTTCTTCCTTGCAGCAATTCCTCCTTCAGAAACTGAAAGGAGCCTGGGAGAGGCCGGCTGTTGGTTCTCTGCGCAGTGAGTAGCTGGAGGTACCATGACGCCAGCCAAGCCCAAAGGACACAGCAAATCCCTGGACTTTAACAGGCTTCTGATTCCAAGCTAAGAAAAGCAAGATAAGTTACAAAAAGCATTCTAATCAGGGCCCAGAGGTGTTTGACTACAATAAATAGATATACCTGCAAAATTAGTGAAGAAGCTAACCCAATTTTTCCCTAATTTTTCCGTAGTCTTTATTTGCTTTAAGAGTACCTAGAAAGCTTTGTTTAAGTACAATACTCATTGAGGGTATTTAAATAAGATTCTCCATTGAAAAGCAAAAATAATCTACAAATGGAAGATTATACATCAGGGGCCAGATTTCTAATTAAACAAGGAGATTCAATCTATTCATTTATCTCCGCTTTTTCCTGAAATCTGAGCACTATTAATATTAGAGGAATAAAAAAATACATTAACTCCCAAGTTCTTAAAGCATGGGGGGAGGCTAAGCAACTAACCCCTGCATGAGGAGAGAAAATGGAAGCCTCTCGAATCCCAGGGAGTCAGAGAGCAGAGAGGAGGGGAAGCAGCAGAACTCTGGAAGACAGAAAACAGGAGAACTTGTGGTCGTGGAGTTTCCAAGAGAGGAGTCTAGAAAGTACCAGAGTGAGGAGTGTGGGGATGAAGAGAGGGGGCACGAACTCCCTCGCATCACAGAATGCTGGAAAATTCAGGACTTGGAGGTGATGGGAGCCAAGTCATCCTGAGAGCACCTCCCTTTTCCTCTGAGTGCACACCAGTTAAGATGCAGTTCTGTGAGCCAGGCAATGGGAAATCAAAGCATCACCCTCCATGTGGGATCTTGAAAAAGACAAGTAGAAAACTAATGAGAGTCAAATGGGGCCCAGAGACGAGTTCGTTTTAACAGGTTCTGAATCTCCAGCTTCCTCTCTTGATCCTGTAGTGGCATGACATCGGGGAAAGCTGGTCAAAGAATACACAGTAACTCAACGACTTTTTCAACTTTTCCATAAGTCTAAAATCATTTCAAAACAAAGCTTTTTTGAAAAGTTAAAGGTCTCCTTGGTTATTAGAAAACAGGGCCAATTCTGCCTGAATTAGATAAAGTGCCTATCAGCCCTACATTAAACAGATTTACTTGGCCATAGTTGCAAACCGTAATGGGCCAGCTCAAGACTTACCACAAAACAGAGCCAGTAGGCTCCCAGCTGATCCCTGGCCAAATGCTGATGAGAAGACAACACGGACAGGCCTGTCTTCAGTCTGAGACCTCAGGGTCTCCTGAATGAAAGGTGAGAGGAAAGGGCTAAGCCTGCCCACAGTTCCTCTCCCGCTTTCCCTAACTAACTGAGTCACTCCTCGCACCTGCAGAGTAGTCGAGAAGGAAGAAGGGCTGAGGGTCAGTGGTAGAGTGTCTCCTAGCGTGCACAACATGAGGCCCTGAGTTTGATCCCAACATTGCAAAAACAAATAAAAGAAGGCAGAAGAAAGAACACAGAAGTATTGATTTCATGCAGTGTTCTCAACCTGATGGTCTCAAGATCCTTCTAGACTCTTGAAAATTATTGAAGACACCAAAGAGTTCAGGTCATGCTGGTGCTACCTGTCTATGAATGTGTTTCCATCACTGTTGCAAAATACCCAAGATAATCAACTTAAAAGGAAGGAACGTTTATTTTGGAAGACAGTTTCAGTTCGTGGTTGTTGGCCTTATCGCTTTGGTCCCATGATGAGGCAGAACATCATGGTGGCGAGTGTGTGGTGGAGCAAAACTGCTCACCTCATGGTGGCCAGGAAGCAAAGAGAGAGAAAAGAAGAGGCCAGGGTCCCATATCCCTTCCAGGGCATGCCCCCTGGAAGACCTAACTTCCTCCTACTAGACCACACCTCCTTATGGTCTGTCATCTCCCAAAAGCAGCATAGGCTGAGGACTCAGCCTTTAGCAAGTAGACCTTGATTGGGCATTTAAGATCTAAACCAAATCAATCAATATCAGCTATAAAACTGATATCTTGACAATCTATTCATTTAAGTAGTACTAATAATTCCAGTATATTTTAACATTAACAACACATTTTATGAATTATATTTTCCAAAACAAAAACATATGGTGAGAGGAGTAGCCTTGTTGTAGGTTTTTTCAAATCTCTCTAATACATTCCTTAACCAAGGACAGCAAGATTCTTGCCTCTGCTTCTGCATGCAATCTGTTGTGACACCAAAGGTCATGCAGCCTCGAGAAGATTCCTGGATATGCTCCTAGGAAAATAAAAGAGTAAATAATATTTGGGCATTATTATAAAAGAATATTTTGACCTTTCAGACCCCCAGAGTTCCCTGGACCACACTTTGAGAAGCGCTATCCTAATAAACGCCCCTGTACGTTCAGAAACGGCAGGATAAATGCTTCTCCCACAGGAGACAGCCAGCCCCTGGGAGGAGGCCTGGGGGGAGGGCAAGTCTGAGACAGAGGCATTGGTCAGGAGTCCATCCTTGAAGCAGCTAGACCCCTCCCCCAGGTCCCCAGGTCCTCTCAGCTCAAAGTCATGCTTGTCTCTCTCCCTGGGCTGCAGTTTGCTGAGAGGTTAAACCCTGACAATCTGTAGACTCAGGGATGGCATCAGAACTGAGGGACATTCTTCTTAAGCAGGAAAACTGGGTGGAGTCACGCATAAGAGGTGATAAGATCCTCATCCCCCTTCCCCTACTCCTAGAGTCTCAGTGGCCTGGTTTGTTACCCACGCCTTGGCACACACACCCAAGGCAGTAGATTGGGCAACTTTTCTCTGAGGAAACTGAACAACCTAAAGAAAAAGAGCTCTAGAATACTGATTTGGCATATCCCTCCATGAAATAGCCCCCACCAATCACCCTAACCTAAAGCCCAAGTCTTCACAGTCCTGCCTCTGTACCCAGTTCCCGTAGCTTGAGATCTGTCACCCTGTACTCTGACCTGCTTACAGACAGCTCAGAATGACTGAGCCAGACATCCTTAGAGAACAACACGGACGAAACAACGAAAGAGAATGGAAGGACAAATGCTAAAAAAAAAAAAAACACACACAAAACACCAAAAGGAACGTTCATCAAACAACAAAGGACTTCTTGGACATTAAAAACAAAAAGCAGAAATTTAAAAATCAATAAAGGTTTTGAAAGATAAACCTGAAGAGGGCTTTCAGAAAATAGATCAAAGAAAAATGGGTAGGTAGCTAATAGAAAAAAAATAATGCTTAGAAGTGCAAAGAGCCAGTACAGGTTAAACACGCACCAAATACATCCCCAGAAAGAGATAACTGAGAAAAGTTTCAAATAAATACAAACGTTAAAACTTTTGCAGAATTCAAGAACTTGAGGTTCCAAATGGAAAAAGGTCTATATGTTTCCAGGGAAATACACAAATATATGAGGTGGGGGACATCAATATGAAACTGCAGAACACAAGAGAGAAAGAAAAGATCCTAAAAGCTTCAGGAACATAAAAATAGGTGCACATGCCAGTGGAGACCCAGAAAGGCATCAGACCTGACAGTACCAACTCTGGAAATGACATGATGATGGAGTGATGGCTTCAAAACTCTCAAGAAAAATGATATGCTAGCCAGCTTCCTGTGACTTAGACCAAATACCTGAGAAAATCAGCTTTGAGGGGAAAAGATTGAGTTTGGCTCAAGGCTCCAGAGGTTTCGGTGTCTGGTCAGCTGACTCTGTTGTTTGGGGACCTGTGGGCAGAACACCATGGCGGGGGGTCTAGCAGAGGAAAGCTGCTCAGCCCCTGGCACTTGGGAAAGGGTTGGGGATAGACACACCCTTCCAGGGCACCCCACCAGCAATCTGCTTCCTCCAAGTTCACCCTGCCTCCTGAATCTTCCACTAATGCCTTCAGATTATGAATCACCCAATGGGTTCATCTGCTGATAAGGTCAGAACCCTCATTATCCAGTCCCTTCTGAAAAGGCTCACCTCTGAATGCTGCTGCACTGGGGACCTAAAACTTTAGCCCGTGAGCTTTGGGGGGACACTTCAGATCCAAACTACAGCAAATGCTTATCCACCTAGAACTCTAACCAACCATCACTAAGGCAAAGGATAAAGAAATGGGCACAAATGCAAAATCTAAAAACAATCACTTCCCCATCTTTTCCAAAACGCTACTAGAAGAAACCACCCATGAAGGAAAGGAACTTCTTCCTTTCCTTCCGGCTAAGAAGGGAAAATATGGACTCCAAGACAGAAGGCATGGCAGTCATTCTTCACGATGGCCCCAAATGAGCCCCTCCTCTGGTATTCACATCCCTGTACAGTCCTCTCGGGCACTGGACAAGAATTGGCCCGAATGACCAGCAGAAGGCGGCAAAAGTAGCACTCTGACCCTTCTGAGACGGGGCTAGAAGAGCCCCTTGGTGGCCCTCTCCCTCTCTTCCTGTCATGCATATCATTGACTTTGGGGGAAGCCAACTGCCATGATGCCATAGCCCTTTAAAAAGAGGAACTGAACCGGGCTCCGTGGTGAACTCCTAGGAACCCAGAAGGCTAAGGCAAGAGGATCTAGAGTTCAAAGCCAGCCTCCTAAGTTAGTGAGGCCCTAAGCAATTAGCAAGATCCTGTCTCAAAATAAAGCACCCCTGGATTCCATCCCCAGTACCAAAAAAAAAAAAAAAGGAACTGAATCCTCCTGCCAAGAGGCATGTGAGCAAGCCCAGAAGCAGCTGCTGCAGTTTCAGATAACTTTAGCCTCATGAGAAACCTGAACCAGAACCATTAGCTGACCTGTTCCAGAGAGACTGTGAGAAAATAAATGTTCACCCTTTAAAGCTGCTAACTTCCAGAGTGATTTGTTACATACCAATACACAACGAATACACAGAGTGTCCACCATAAAAGAGAAATAAAAGAAATTCCCATGATAAGGAAGCCCTAGGGCAATAGTCATTCAGCAGTCTTAGAAAGCATCCAGGGTAGATGTGAGCAGGAAGTCAGAGAACTTCGGGAAGGGTATCTCCCAAGAATGTGGAACTGATGTATTATCTTCATATTATACGGTAGAGAGAAATTGCATTCTTTCACTTTAAGTGAATACATGTTTATTTATATTCAGAAACACTTCAGGTTTTGACTAAAGTGTTAATAGTTACACAGAAAGCTAAGCAAAAGAAAAAAAGAGAATATTATTAGCTCTAAGAAAAAATGTTCCTCGAGAAATGAAATATATATATATAGCTCAATTATGAATAATATTTGTATAATCATAGTCAAGAAGATAGTGAAGTCAGAGTTACTCAAAAATTGTGATAATTCTACTATGAGTGCAAAGAAATCCAAGTTTGTGTATCAGGAAGGGGTGGTGGTGGTGGAGTTTAAGAAAGCTAAAATTCATTTTCTTTAGTCAGAAGGCAATAGATAATGTCTAAAAGGTAAAGATCAAAATATTGTCTAAGTCTGCTCCTGAGGAATTCAAAGGTTAGTACCAGGACAACAGCTAAAATAACTGAAAATTGTTGACTTTGTGGAGCAGAAACTGAGAGTGAAGAGGCCAGGCTACTCAGGAGGCTGAGGCAGGAGGATCACAAGTTCAAGGCCAGCCTGGGAAACTTAGCAAGATCCTGTCTCAATATAAAAAGGGCTGGGGGCATGACTCAGTGATAGACTACTTGTCTAGCATGCATGAGGCCCTGGGTTCAATCCCCAGCACCACCAAAAAAAGGAAGGAAGAAAGAAAAGAAGTTGCAGGTGGGAAGAAATGGGCCATGAGTGACCTTCCATTAGCCTTGTCATTGTCTTTGTCTCAAAAAACAATTTGATTAAAATAAAACTTTAACCTTACAGTATTTACCTACCTTAGGGCAAAATCAATAGGCAATGTCTGCAAATAATAAATCACAGGACAGAAAATGTCTTCCTGTTTGTCAGTAGCCACCAAGAGATATCAAAACCAGGAGTAGTTAAATGTCGTTCCTTCTGGGAAGCAGGATGGGAATGGTTTTCGGATATTTATTTCTACATTATAAAGCATCCTTAAAACAAGAGGAATCAGGATTTCAAGCCAGAACAATGCAGGCCTGAGCAGGAAAGGTTTGTCTCTGCTCCTCCTAGAAGCAGCTAGAATAGCTCCTCTGGGGCTCAGGCCATATTCTCTCCATTTAGGTATGAAGATTCTGGGCCTCGCTGTGCAGTCCCCCAAGGCCAGGTGCCCTGCCTCTGCCTGCGGGTCACAGTAAATTTCCCATGTGACTTTCTTCATTCATGCTGTTTTGCAAGCTTGCTGTTGGCCCCAGGAACAACAGAAAATCCTCAAGATTCAAGAGACTGAGGGGCATGGAACATGTATAGAGCCCCTGTCTGAAGGGTCCCCACTGTCCCCAAGGCTGGAGTATGGAGAATGGCAGGACACTGAAGAGCATTAGTCATGAGATGGTCCATCTCCCTGGGGTTTCCTACTGCAGCCAGCACAGACAGGCGATTGAGACATTTTAGGATGGTAGCTTAAATGACACCGCCACTTCCTACATGGCCCCTGCATGTTTTCAAAGAAAAAGAGCCACAGCCAGCCCTGGCCTTCTACCTGACATCTCAACGAGGCTTGATTTCCATGCTTGAACGCCAGGTGTGTGACCGCAGAGCTGCCTGTCATGCCACAGGGTCCTGCCAAGAGCCACACGACTCTAAGCCAAAGAAGGAAGAAATGGCATTCCCGGGCCTCTCTGCAGCCATCCCAAGACACAAGCTTGACTCCTCCATGTCTAAAGCCAAGCGACTAGATCAGGTTGGGTGGAGACAGGTGACAGTTTTAAGGGTTGTGCCTGGAACTCCCCATGGCATTGGGAACAGATAGTGAGGAGGAAAACAGTGCGGGCCCAGGATGACAGGTCTCACTGAGAAAAGAGCACATTGTAGAGCAATGCTCTCTCACGTGGGTTATGGTGACTTTGAACCCTGGCGCCTTCCTTTGCTTTAGTCTGATATCCCACTGTCATGATAGTATAGAAAAAGTGGGCAAGGCTGGAACATGTCTCTACTCTCTGTCAGTCCCAACTGGTGAGCAATAATGACTGAGAAGAAATACAAGAAAAGAGCCATGGTCAGGTAATTCCAGCACCTCGACCTGTTCTACATCAGAATCGTTTTCTAGACTTCATAACATCCTCTATGAAGACGTTCATGGATAGTGAAACGATCAAAAATAGTAACACGAATGTTCCAGTTTCATCTTACCTTCCTTTGTTCATATCAAATGAGCGGTATACTGTTTTATATATGTG